CAATAAGTAACGTACAACATTTTTCAAAGTTTAGTGACCAAAACTCGACATTTTAAATTTCAGTAAGCAATCGAAGACATAGATCTAAATTCAATGACCAAAAATCAACATTTTTCAAAGTTCAGTGATCAAAACTCGACATTTTAAACTTTAGTGGTCAATTAAAGATATGGACCTAAATGACCAAAATCGACGTTTTAAACTTCAGTGACCAATCAAAGATTTGGACCTAAATTCAATGACCATTGGAACAATTAACACGAAAACTTAAAAACCCCATTTTCCTGGCCGCCCGTCGCAGGTAAAACAGCCAATTCCCTCATGTCCTACAAGGAATTCGATCCATTTGGCTCCGAATCAACGTCAAACACCTTCACTTCATCGGGTTTCCATAAAACCCCATTAGAATCCTCACATTCCCCACCATTTCTTGCACCCAAAATCGTCAATTGCCTTGACTCTTGTGATGAATTGAAACCATATGAATCAGGCTAATGACACTAGGTGGAGCCTTGAGACAAGTACGTAAAATCGTAAACATCTTGAGGGCATTCTTGGGAAAGACAATCTGTATCAACATCGTCGAAACCTGTTACTCTCCGAACAGCTCCTTGTTAAGCTTCGATTCCGACGACCGTACTTTCTAAGGATCATATATTATCCTTCAAATAATTCAAATCCCTTCTCATGGAATCAAAAGGTTGGGTTTTTAAGTAACTAGCTCAAGAGTTGACTAGTTCTTCGTTGGGGTTTGAGCTTTCTGGATTTTGCTCTAATTTGATGATTTAAAAACAGAGACGAGAATTTCCAAGAGATAGGCATAATTTTTACGTCAAAAATGGAATTATAAAAATTGAATTGAATTCAGTAAATTTTGAAACATGGTAAGATCTGAGTCGTTGGCTTCACTCTTATTAGCAATCATTTTCAACGGCTGATGGTGCAGATTATTAATTTTGTTGTTTACTTTGGCCTTTTTTAGCTCCTTTTTTGGAAAATTAAATTTTGAAATAGTTATTTTTTGTATAATGTGTGGTTACAAAATAAAAATTTTTGTATTTGCATATACAATTATTTTATAGAAAATATATGATTGAAAATGAATTTTAGAAAAATGAAGCTCAAACATAGACTTCGTTAGCCGGGAATTTTTTTGAAAGTGCGACTTTGAATATGATTATACAATTTGAAAAGGGCAAACTTTCATTTTCATCATTTGAAGATCCACGTAAAAAATATTCATGGGAATATCTATATTTGGATGTGTTGCACAGTTAACATAAAATATGAAGGAAAAATTGCACTAAAAACAATATCATCAACATACCATATCAATTTGTCTAATGTAACAAGGTTGAGAATGGTGCATGGCTATAAGGCATTATAATACCGCATAAAATGTGTAAAATTAAACTTTTAGTGTAGAGTGATTAATTAAGTAAAATTATGTATTAGGTCCGGAAGTTGAAAATGAAGCAGATAAACATCCTTGAAAACCAAAGCAAACAAGTACAAGAATTGCCTAATCCATTAACTATGAGCAAGACAAGTACAATGAGATACGAATCTTGGGTTATAGATGTTGGGAAGGGTAGTCTTGGCTCGACTCGGTCGTCTAGGCTAGCGAGTTGAGAAAGTAATCTAGGGTTATAGATATTAATGGGCCAGGTAGGGTCTGTTCGACTTGATCCTCCACGCTAACGAGTTCGTGCTTGCTTTAGAACAAGCTGAGCATGAGCCAATTCAACTAAAAAATTTCAAACTCAACTCATCTCATTAGGTTTTTTTTTTTTTTTTAATTAAAAAAATGTTGTGTTTAATAAAAAAAATGAAAATCGATGAAATGTAAGTTTTAAATTTAGAAGGTCAAAAGGCGGCCTAAAATTCATATGTTGCAAGTGCAATGACAAAAAGCAACTACCTATCACATAGATCAATGGTTACCGTCCCCGGGGCACAGCCTAATGGTGCAAAGGATAGGAGTGAGGTTATCTCACACCTTATTGGCAGTCACAGTGTGGGGGTTCGATTCCTGAAACATGGAATTAGACTCTTTGTATGAGCAATGTACAGACAGCTCTTGTTCCCTGACCTGTTAGGGCACATCCCGCGATTTACCTCCCTCACAAAGCTCTAAGGGTGGGGCGATGGGGCTCTCAAGATTAGGGTTCAACCTTTTTTTTTTTTTTTTTTTTTTTTTTTTTTTTTTAAATCAATGATTACTTAGCAACAGAAATAGCAAGCCTGCTTGGCTCTTGAGCTTGTGTCAGCCAATAAGCGGCTTGCCTGAGCAAAACCCCAACTCAACTCATCAACTCACCTAAGGATGAATCGAGTCACACTCATTTAATATCACTAGTCCGAATTTAGATGAAAAAATATTATTTGTTCAAACCCTTAAATATTATTTATTTCATTCGAACCCTTGAAAAGTCGTCTAAATACCTCAGTCGTTTCAAGCAAGACCATTAGGTGGCAATGGTTCTTTTGGCAGCCTTGGTGCTCCTTCCATTCACGTTAAAACAAAACATGAGGAAAATTTCATCAAAGATGTATCACGAGGACATGGTAATTAATGTGATTTAGTGGTGACAAGCACGCATCTGAAGATGGCTCTAACTCTAAAGCCTTGCATTTAGGCAAGAATCTTAGCGTCTATTTGGTAAAAATTATTTAGATTTCATTAACTTTTTAACTAATCAAACTTCAATATTGACTACACATCAATGTGATCCACAACCTTCAATCATAAATTTCATTAACTTCTTATCAATATTCACTAATTGAAAAAATATAATTGAGTTAAGAGTACATATTAATAACGTTCATTTGACAGGAAGTCATCAATATCACAAAAATCTTCAATAACAAAACATCAAAATAATGCTTTTTCATTAATCATTTCTTGAGTTGAGAGAAGATAATAAGTAATTTAATTTAATATTTCATCTCATAAACAGCACCATGTGGACAATTTATCCAATACGGTCCAATACTTTGATACATATACATATTTATACGGTCCAACCTAAATACTTTTAATACATATACATATTTATAAATCGATTGATAATTGGCCACTTTCTAAAAAAACAAAATTGTATCGAAAATTTGTAATAACTCCCAACCTCAAGAGTACAAGCGTAAAATCTAAAGTTAATAGTCTCAAAAATCACTACGATTTAAGATATAGAGTTTTGATCATTAAACTTCTCAAAGTGTGAGACGTTATTGAGTGAAATCACTTTTGTTTTGCGTCTCTAACGATTTAACTAACCTAGCAAAAGAAATCCACTACGACGCTCCATCATTGGTAGATGCCCAATCACAGAAGATGGATAGTCTACATAAACAAGGCGTCGTTGATTACTCACAATACTTTGACAGGGGTTATTGATTGCTCACTATACTTTAAGTTATTAATTTTTGGTGACTAAACTTCTTAAAGTGTCGTCGAGATGACATAAAAACATGAGTTTTGTTTATTTTTCACGTTTTAACGTCTTGTTATCACGTGTTTAGAAAGTTCTTTCCACTCTGAATATTTTATTGGATTGTTTCGCTAATGGAATATAATATGGGACAATCAAATCAAACTTGATCACCATTCCCTATTGGCAAATTTATTTAGATTTTGTTTAATTAAGTAACTATACCTTAATCTGATCTCACTTTAGATGACTTCATCCAAACATAATTATTTGAAAACGATAAGCCCTCTTTAAAATATCTTATTTTATTCCACGTGCAAAAGATCATGTGGCATTAGAGACACCGACGAAATGAAATATGTTATCATTTCAGAATACTATGAAACTTGAAACTATAAACAAGCATATCACCAAGCAAATAGATTCAAACATATTAAACTCTTAATGAACTGCAATATAATTTCAAAACCACCCAAATTTTCGACTTCTACCATTCAACATAATAACTATAATAACACGTAATAATTTTAAGAGTAAAATAATTCAATAAAATGTTTAGTTTAAAAAGAACTTTCGAAACACATAATAACACAACATTAAACACACAAAAATAAACAAAACACGTGTTTCTATATCATCCCAGCATCACTTTAAAAAGTTTAGTGATCAAAATTCGACAATTTTAAATAATAGTGAGCAATCAAAGACTTCTTCCTTTTATGGATTGTCCATCTTCTGCGATGAGATATTTGATGAGGCACCAATTGTGAAATTTGTCGCCATAATGCCATATCAGCCATTCCATTAGAGACGCGAAGCGAAATTAATTCTAGTGAGTAGCGTCTGATATTTTGAGAAGTTTAGTGATCAAAATTCTATATATTAAAGTGTAGTGAGCAATGGAGGGCGCCAACGTAAGTTTAGTGATGATCGGGTCAATTAACTCTAAAATCTACAAAATAAATATTCAGCATCTTTTGTAAGGGGGCGGTGGGGCACTGTGTGACAATAGAGAGGGGGAGTCCGATATTTTGACCTTTTTATTTTTCCTGGATCTAGGGTTTTCTTCTTCATCGTCACATATGCTGTTGTACTGCTGCTATTATGAAATCATCGTCGAACCCCATATTTGAATCCTGAATTACAGTTCGGACACATCAAGAGAATCGGCAATTCACAGTGATCGTCAATTATTGATGAAACCCTAATCTGTCCACATTATTAGTTTTTTCTTGATTTTATCAGCAATAGATCTATTAATCTGGAAAAATCGGATTGATTATTAAGAAGAAACTATCCAATTTCAAGGACCGTTAGATTAAAATATTCATTTTCCCCTCAAACTTCACAGACCAATGAATTCCGTACAGCTATATTGAAGAAGAGAAATTGGTTGAGAATTTTCATTTTTTAATTTTGATTTTTTTTTTGAGAAAAATGTACGGAAAATCGGTGGTGGTTTACGAAGGAGAAAGGGTGCTGGGAGAAGTAGTGGTGTATTCAAAACAGTCTCAAGACGGTGTCGTATGGGGAGAGCGTCTTAAGGAAATTCGGATATCTCACTATTCACAACCCAGTGAGAGGTGTCCGCCACTAGCGGTGCTTCACACCATAACGTCCACCGGAATTGCCTTCAAATCGGAGTCGTTACAACATCAGGACTCGCTGCTTTCGGTTTTGCATGCCACATGTCTCAGAGATAACAAGGTATATTATCGCATTGCCCGCAACCAAGTACAGAAACTTCAAACAATTAACTAAAATCCCCAAACTTAGTTCAATTGAAAACCTCATTCAAGTAACACTAAAAGAACCCTAATATCAACTACTAAAGAAAATGGAACTCTTATATTTCTGAAAAAAGTTTAAACTCTGATACAGAAGTGAACTTGCAGAAAGAATGAATTCTGATAGATTCAGTCTTCATGAAAATTTCTCTGTTCCAGACCGGACTCACTGAAGAAAGACTGAACTTTGGACAAAATGATACTCATGACACTGGAAAAATTTACTGTGAATTTTGATTATTTTTAGTGCATTTTGAAGAATTACAGGATCTTGGAACTGCAGCTTTGGCGCTTACCAGGAAAGTTTTGATCTCTGAAGCGTATCCTCTTAGAAAGAATGTCCTAGGGAATTATTAAGCTAATTAATGAAATTAATTCTTTCTTTGTTAACACTTGTGATGGTTTTGATGCACCAAAGACATGCTTTTTGTCACATATGATGATTTTTACGTTTAAATTTGGGCATCAGATAAAACGAGTGTTGAACGTTAGTTCTATTGGAACCTATAGAAGTATGTTTAAACATATTCAGTTTCAGACAGGATAATTCTTTTCTGTTAATCCATAATGAAGGGCAGCACACGCATAAAGGAGACTGACATATATCCAAATGGAAAATTTTATTTCATTTATTTTATTATTTTTTTTATATGTAAATATAAACTTTATACATAAAAAAAAAAAAAATGTTTTTGTTTTTTTTCGTAAAAAATTGTACTGTGAGTACTAAGTTTTTCTTGAATTTTGTTTTGATATTGCCTCTAGAATTGTTTTTTCAGATTGAAATTTTAGGCTTTTAAGTAACTGGTTATTGCCGTTATAGGTTATCGAAGAATCCTTCTTGATATATGTTTTGTGGAATCTGTAAGTTTTATATATCCATCATGCTACAGGAACTGAAAGTTTGACATAATGCCAAGTGGCATTTCATCATTAAACTGTTTTAAATATAGTCAGCTATCCCATCCAATCAATTCCCGCCATGGCATCTTCAGTAACTGGAACTGGTGGGATTTTTTGGTCAAAGTAGCATTATTCTTTATATATTCTTTGCTCTCAGAAAGACTTATCTTCTTCATTTGTTTTGTCCTTTTTCCTTCACCTCTACATTCTACTTAAAGAGTAGTGTTTTTATTTGAGTTCCACTTCTCATTGTTAATAAATGTATTTGTAGACAGCAGTTATGACACTTGGAGGAGAGGAGCTTCATTTAGTTGCCATGCATTCTCGGAAGTACGAAGGACAGGTCCCTTGCTTTTGGGGGTTCAATGTAGCATCAGGACTTTACAATTCTTGCCTTGTCATGCTGAATCTTAGATGCCTTGGCATAGTATTTGATCTTGATGAAACACTAATAGTTGCAAACACAATGCGGTCATTTGAGGATAGAATAGAAGCTTTGCTGCGAAAAATAAATTCTGAATCTGATCCACAACGTGTTGCCGGTATGATGGCTGAGTTTAAACGTTATCAAGATGACAAAGGTATTCTGAAGCAATATGCTGAAAAAGATCAGGTAGTCGACAATGGGAAGGTGATTAAATCTCAGTCTGAAGTGGTTCCAGCTTTGTCAAACAATCTTCAACCTACTGTTCGACCCCTTATACGTCTGCAAGATAAAAACATTATTCTCACACGCATTAATCCTCTGGTATGTGTACTGCACATTATTTATCTCATATAATACTAAATTATTCAGCTATGTCTTGTTATGTTAGTCTAGTTAGACTTAAGTTTGCTCTCATATCACTTGCTAAGAGAAGTTTATTTTTCAATTTTAATTCCTGCTATTTCTTGGGCCCCGGGGGGGGGGGGGGGGGGGGGGGGGGGGGGGGGTAGAGGTGGGCGGTGGCAGATTTCAGGTGAAGTTACCTAATAGTTTGGGCAATGGCAACGAATTCAAGAAGATTTGATGGGCTTGGTACTTTTTGTCATATTATGAGTTTGAAGATACGTGATATTAAAAGTTACTTTGTATGACTGCAGATACGTGATACCAGTGTCCTTGTTAGGTTGAGGCCTGCTTGGGAGGATCTTAGAAGCTACTTAACTGCTACTGGTCGGAAACGATTTGAGGTTTTTGTTTGCACAATGGCCGAAAGAGATTATGCTTTAGAAATGTGGAGGCTTCTTGATCCAGAATCGAATTTGATAGACTCCAAAGAGCTGTTGGACCGTATTGTTTGTGTCAAGGCTGGCAAGTTTTGATTACTGTAACTTTAATTTCCACTTTTGGTGGAATTTGTCAATATTACATATGTAGCATGTTTTTTGTATCTATTGTACTCATTCCTTTAAATTCTTAACAGGCTGTAGGAAATCACTTTTCAATGTTTTCCAAGTTGGAAATTGCCATCCTAAGATGACATTAGTGGTTGATGATCGTTTAAAAGTGTGGGACGAGAAAGATCAGCCACGAGTGCACGTTGTTCCTGCATTTGCTCCATATTATGCCCCTCAAGCTGAAGTACTTTCCATATGTGTATAATTTTTTAAATTTATGGAAATCTAAGCTCATTCAATTGATGAGATGATTGAAAATTATATTCCACAGGCCAATAACACAATCCCTATTCTGTGTGTTGCAAGAAATGTAGCTTGCAATGTTAGAGGACGTTTTTTCAAGTAAGTTTATATGGACCCTACTATTGATGCACAAGCACTAACTAACATCGGGTGGTGACCGCTGTAGTTGTTCTTTAGTTTTAGTTTTTCAAGATTTTGGTTCATACCTCTTCTAGTGTTAGGATTAGACTTGAAAAATATATTTGATACAGGGAATTTGATGAAGTTCTCTTGCAACGAATGTCTGGAGTTGCATATGAAGATGATATTAAAGAAGTTCCTTCTCCGCCAGATGTGAGCAACTATTTGATTTCGGAGGTCAGTGAGGACATCACTTTGTACCTTGAGCCAGTCTTGCAATTATGTTGGGTTGTCATGCGTCTGACATTATGATATGATGAATTATTTAGTTGTTTAACTGTGTTTATGGTCATTAGTATAGATTATAGTGACATTATTCAATTCCTTTCTTCTTAGGACAATCCTTCTGTTTCTAATGGAAATAAAGATTCGATTGGTTTTGATGGTATGGCGGATGCTGAGGTGGAAAGGAGGCTACTGAAGGTGCAATGTCCCCTTTGATGAACTTATTTTTCTTAGTTGATGCCCATATGTAATACGCCTTAATGACTGGTGAAAGTCTTAATGGAGATTTTAACAGAAAACTGTCTGTCTAATGACATCCTTTCTTTTCTGCTTGTCCTTTTCGTGTACTAAAAACTATCTCTAATTGTTCTGTTAGCCCATGGTAACCATCTTTTTAAGTTTTAATAACCTTGAGGCTTGAACACTCAGGATGCAAGTTCAGCTTCTTCAACTGCCCCTTTGACAATGGCACGTGTAGATCCAAGAATTGCTTCACCTCTCCAGAGTAGTGTACCATCTTCTTCTTTCTCAGTTCCACCAACAACGATGGAAGGGCCAGCTTCGTCTTTTCCCAATCAGCAATTACCTCAACTGACGACGCTACTCAAACCGCCATTAGCTCAACGTGGCAAAGCAGAAACAACATTGCAAAACTCTCCTGCAAGGGAAGAGGGCGAGGTACCAGAATCTGAATTAGATCCTGATACTAGGAGGAGACTACTCATTTTGCAACATGGTCAAGACAGTAGAGACCATGCATCAGTTGAACCTCAATTTCCTGCTCAACCACCCATGCAAGTATCAGTGCCAAGGGTTCCGGCATGTGGGTGGTTTCCCATTGAAGAAGAGATGAGTCCAAGGCAACTGAACCGTGTGATACCACCTAAGGAAATTCCTTCAATTCCCGAGTCTATTCCTATCGATGAGCACCGGCCTCATCATTTACCATTTATCCATACGGTGGAGAGTTCAGTCCCACCCGGTAGAGTTCTTGAAAGCCAAAGTTTGCCCAAGGAGGTAATTCACATCTAAATTTACCTGGTTTATAGCGCTCAAGTGTATAAAACATAAATTGAAAGGATTATTTTGACTGACAAAGTGTAATAAATACTAATATTATAAGGTTTATATATGCAGGCACTGCCAAGGGAGGAACCATTAAAGTTAAACCGGTCACTGCCTAATTTTTACTCCTTGTCTGGTAATACACGTATTCTTTATGTTTGCTTATTCAATTTCTCAAGTATATTAGAACCTCTTGGATAAATTTTCCCATGATTAATTTGATATGTACTTTTTTTTATATGTATATCTTCCCTTAAGTTTTTGATAGTTTTTAACTTTGAAGTTGTGATTGAATGATAAAGTCTGACTTGAAAGGTTATTATATAAAGAATTAATTACCCTTTATAGAAACTAGGTGATAATTCATATTTATTCTTGACAAAGCTCGTCACAAAATGCTTTCAGGTCCGTTGATTCATCTGTCTCTTTTTGTTATATTTATTAACCTATGTGTGAATTGAATATGCCATGGGATTTTATGATTCATAAAATGGATTTTCTTGATGATTTTTAGTTATTAATTAGTTTTTCTTGATAGCGCACATATAACACATTCATACTGAGGGGAAATCTTAATATCATGTCTTTTCTGCTTCAATTTTGGTTCGCATTCTGAAAATTAAAAATTGAATAAAAAAGGACTGAAATAGCTGTATCAGGGGGAACATCGAGTTAACAAATAAGCATTACCTTGTTGGTGTTTTACCCTGGTTTCCTGGGCAAGTTTGTTGCTTATAGGGACATTTGGGGATTTTGAAAAAGCTCGTAGATGAATTTTGGGAAATCTTTCCTCAGTTCCTATGTAAAAAGAGATATTTAACTCAAAAATATGATTCATTTCTTTTCCTTATTGTAGAGCTAGTTTCATTTGGTATATCATATACGTCTTGCCTGGACTAGCTGTACAAGTGAGAGATACAGCTCTTTTTAGTGAGAGATAGTGTTATTGACGATATTATATTCTCGTTTTCCAAGGTGAGGATGCTCCCATAGCTCAACCATCTTCAGGAAACAAGGATCTTGACCTTGAAGCTGGGCAAATAGATCCATACCCAGAAACACCTGCAGGAGCTTTACAGGATATTGCATACAAGTGTGGAACAAAGGTATGGAACAGTTGGTAATTTGCCCTTGGATCCCTTCACAAACTGTCTTGTCACATTTGAGGTCCATTTATGGTTATTTCAACTATCTGTAGGTGGAGTTCAGGCAAGTACTCGTCTCAAGCATGGAACTACAATTCTCTGTAGAGGTGGTTTCACCGCTTCACTCACAGTTTAGTTGCCTTACATTATCTTCTGATAGCAATGACAACAATTAGAATTAAACAATTATGAACTAATTGTTAAATTATTAAAAAAATTTCTCTAAGTGACCGAATCTGTGCACTATTGAGAATACACAATTAAGAACTGATATTTAAATGACTAACAATGTTGTCTCTTCTCTGGCCAAAATATGCACCATTGAGAATCTTTAAAATATATTTCTAATACCTTCGTCCTTCTGCTACTAATTTGTTTTCTGTTTTGGAAACATTTTGTGAGAATTCTAATGAGATTGTGTTTCTTGTGGTCTTCTGTAGGTTTTATTTGCAGGTGAGAAAATTGGTGAAGGAATTGCTAGCACAAGAAGGGAAGCCCAGCATGAGGCTGCTAAGGGATCTCTTATGACCTTGGCTGGTAAGATATTAATTTTTGTCTTCTTCTTAGTTGATAATACATTTAGTTACTATACGTAACTTGATTCTTTTGTGTATCACCGTTCAATCTCTTCTGCCTTCATTTGCTTGCCTCAAGCAAAAAGAGAAAGTAAAACAATGTTGGCAGTGGGATACTTCTAATTATTTTGCTGTAGCTTTTGGAAATGATATAACTTTTAACTTCATGTGACACGTCTACTTGAGGTTGCACTTCAGCTCGGCTCCTTTCGAATGCCAGGCTTGAAGATTGTCATGGTGCTAGCTTGTCAGCTATGGTTGAATTTTAGTTTGATCTGTTAGAGAAAATTTTGGGGATTGAAAAGGACAAGGGATTTGAACACTAGAAACTAGCTTTGATATTACTTTTGGTTATACTTGATAAATTTTCATATTCTCTAGCACAGCGAGGAAGGAGGCTTTGGCTTGAAATATGTTTGGGACAACGGTTTTACTTGAGGCTTCTCAATGCAATTTCAAACACATAGTTCTGTAAATTATTGGAGAAATTAGCTGGTTCTTTGTCTTTGAAACGTGTCATTAATGTGACACGTTCCCTGTCTCAACCTGATTTACTTGTATTTATTCCTCTCCCTTTCCAGATCTCCGAAACCTAAAGATCATTAATTTTTGTCATTGACCATTTGTTCTGATTGTTTGAACCTATATCTAATTATTTTACAGAAAATAAGCTCCCTTTTCCTTCATCTAACTATATTAATTGTATAAAATGATTCGCTGCACAAGCACTAGTGTCAGAGAATATACTACTCAGTAACAAAAAGTAGCTGGATTTATAATCCGGTCTCCTGGAATTTATAAGAACTTGAAGTGTTGGAGAATCAGAATATGGGAGCAAGGAGCACAAAATATGATATCCTTGTAAACTGAGCTGATCGGAGGACTCTGTAGATCAATTATGTTAAGTTGGACTCCTAGTACTTCTAGTTGTGAAGATATGAAGGTGGAGATTATAGTATTTGTTTGTTCCGATAGGTCACAAGCTGGCAAGATGGAAGCTAACTTCTATAAATACAAGACGTGACTTTTAAGAGGGGGAAAATAGATTACATTTATGAACTCTTTCTCTTGTATTAAGAAGCATAGTTATTAAACCCAGACCGGACCGCCCAAAGACATGGTGAACTGGGCCCCTCACCTGTCGTGGTGATGTTATTGGATCTGTTGAAGGCCAACCTCGAATGTTCCTTCAATTGATGTCACTGGGATGACAATTAAACCGGTCAAAGCCAGAGGAAACCGAAGTGAACTAGGCTGGGTTTTGGCTGTGGTTGAACCAGTTGTGGTAAACTGTTTGTGTTTTCAAAATATTAATGAGCCTCCGACCTCGAGGTTGCATTGCAGCCTCTGATTGTTGAGCTGTTACTTGCGTTGTTAGCTATATCAATCAAATTAGTAATATACACATAATACAACAGAAAAATAGATTATTTCTTGAGTATTTTATCTTTTAATGACTGTCCAAATTCTATGTATTCCCTTTCTAAATAAAAATATGCCTCTTCACTTTTAATTTTATTGCTGTTTTATGCACTATTTTTTCTATTTTAAAATTATTTTTATTTAAATTTGCATCATGTAATGACCTGCCGATTTAACGTGTGACCTGGTGCTTTGGCTGGGTCAATGACCGTTGTTGGGTCTGATAGGTATGATAAGAAGTACTCCCGTTGGTTGTTCCAAGCTTTTGTAGTTTCATTTAACGCAGCTCTTCAAATTCTTATTTATTCCCTTTCCTGGGAAATATTCTAATAGGTAAGATAATTCAAAACTGGCTCAATAAATTATTTTTGGGATATGCAATCTGGTTCTAGAGAGAGAGAGAGAGAGAGAGAGAATCTTTATTTCTTGGACCCTTTCAGCTTCTTGCCTAAATTTAACAGTTTGTAGTTTTATATGAATTGGGCAAATGTGTTAATGTTGTGGGCATTGTGTTTTATGAAGACCTAGATACATAAAAAACTAGTAATGGAGATTGACGTAAATTATCCAACAGGATATCTTTTACACCAAAGAAACTGGAATTGGGGCTTTAATTTGGTAGGAACAATTAAGAATACTTCCCATGCCTTGGATCCAAAGTGTTCCCGTCCACCTGTTTTGCAAAATCTGTTATTTTCTTAACCAGGCATATTAGACGACAGCAGGATCAATCATGCTAAGTTAGATTCCGTGATACTTCTAATCATCATGACTTAGCTATACCGATGTGGATCCTAATATTATTGGGGTAACTATTGACTCCCAAGCTGGTGCTAAGGTGCCGGCATGATACACTCGAATGTATATACCTGATAGCCTGGATTCATCGTAATCCTCAGCTTTTCTTCCATCCCGTGGTTGTCTGATCCACTTGGATCAGGATCAGGTGTCGGTGGAAAGGAATCCTTTTAAATAAAGGTTGAGATTTATTTAGGGGACATTTACCACATTGCAGATTCTTTTAGTGAAAATATTGCCGTCGTTAGATGCAGATTGAACAGCAATCAGCCAGACTGTCACAAGCTCTTTTATTCCTCTTTTCCTTGGGACTTCAAAATCTGTGTATTGCCTTCATCAGCAAATATTTTCCAATTATTCTTGAGTTAACATTCGGCTAGATTACAAAATTGTGTAATGTAGCTGACAGTTGTTTAGTGCCATCTCGGACTCGTATTGTTGGGAGTAAAACGTGCTGCACATACAGATTTTCTGGAGAGTCTTTGCATGGAAATGAGCTGGGATCCTTATAGATTGTTGGCCTATCTTTTTTTATCAAGTTATGGAATCTGGAGGGAAATGTTTGGTTTTGGAGGCTAAGTTTCTTAGCCAATCTGTAATGAGGGCAGATAATTAATGAGAACTATTTTGTCTTTAACAAATTAAATATACTATTTAGGGTGCGGACATAAACATTTCCTATCCTTTAATGTTGCAGAGTTAATTTTGCTAATTTTCATGGAATTACTGACGAATGTTTTAAACAGTTTTGAATTATTTGGCTGTCAAAAAATTTCAGATCATGCTATGCTTTCTGCACTGATGCTGACTATTACCATTTGTTTGCAGATAAATATTTGTCGCGTAAGCCTGATTCCAGTTCCATGGCTGCAGATGGGAGTAGATTTGCTAATTCGAATGATAATGGTTTTATTCGTGATGCCTACCCTATTGGATATCAGCCATTGCCTAAGGAGGAGACTACATCTTTTTCAATTGCATCAGAGTCACCCAGGATTCTGGACCCTAGACTGGAGGCTTCAAAGAAGTCTATGGGTTCAATCACGGAGCTTAAAGAACTGGTGAGTTTCTTTCTTATAGTCAAAATGCTACTATTTCTGATTTCTCTACTTTCCATTTCCCATTTGCATGCTGTCATTATTCTATTCTTCATTGCATGATGCAGGGCCTTGGTGTTGCATTCCAAACTCAACCTCAGTTTTCAGCAAATCCAGGCCAGAAAAATGAAGTATATGCACAGGTCAGCAATTTAGGCATTTTGAAAAATAAAAAAAAAAAAAAAAAAAAAAAAACGTTGTCTTGTTAGATGAACTTTCTATTCTGGGGACCTTCTATTCCTCTCTCCCTTCCAGCCACCCCCACCCACTACCATTATACCATCATTTCCATAAATCGTTAATATGGATCGGATATAATATAATAATTTCTTCTCCTGTACTATATCGAAGCCTTATATCAGTCCCTTGACCGGATTAATTATTCTGGATTTCACTTTGATTTGCATTCATGTTCATTTAGATTGCGTTCGATAGCCTGACCCTGGGAATTCTGAATTGGATTTAGAATTATTCACGTAAAATTTTTATGATTTTTCACCAAACTCCGATTTTAAAATCTTGATACAATGCCTCTACCATGCTGTTATATTGTTAAATATTTTTGAATCTTCAATGGTGATATGTCTGTATCTATTAATTTGTTTTTGGCTGTTTGGATTGTCAGATGTCATTGGGTTCATAACGATTCCATACCTAGTAATCCTCATATTTGGAGGTTTTAAATAGTTTTCTATGTGCATCAGAATTTGAGTGAGTGACAAGACATTTAGTAGAACTCACTGGTTAAACCAAAATGATGGTTGATAGTGGATGCACGAAGAAGTAGCCAATTTTTTGCATGTCTGATTATGTACATTCAGAATTGTGATATCCAAGTATTCTTTGTTAATGAATTGTGCTGTTTTTGGCATTTTAGGTTGAAATTGATGGACAGGTATTAGGCAAGGGGATTGGACTAACATGGGATGAAGCTAAGACACAGGTACTATGCTGCTTTCCTGCTTCCCTCTTGTATACATTTTCGCTTCCACGTTCTTTCTTATTAGTATTAGGGACTTAATTTTTAGATTTTTTTTGTTTATTAAATTGCTCTTCATGTTTTCAACCCTATATTTTTTTCCCTTAGGCTGCTGAAAAGGGTCTTGGAACCTTGAGATCCATGCCCAATCAGTTTCCCTACAAACGCCAGGATTCTCCATGGTTAGTGGGTTTTGCTGTCTGCTGACCTTTGATTAAATGATTGCACATAAAATTGAATTTCGAGGTGCTCTGCATCAGAATTTATTGTATGGCTAGAGTATGACCCTGGTTATGCACTTGTTTGGGTTGTATGGTGTACATTTATTTGAAATGTGGAGCTTTCGAGTAAATGAGATCACTCAACTGTTGCAAGGTTGGAGAAGAAATGTCAGAGCTTCAGCTTCCATCTTAAGTTTGTTTTACAATGCGGGCTTTCATGTTGGACAATGCGGAAAATGAGTCTCTTTTGTCTATACTTCTCCATTCTCCAAAATCTCCTTAAGTGCTGTCAGCTTCGTACAGCTTCTTTATGTACTAGATTTACCAATATATGTCTACTATGTTACTAATTCCTTGTGAATCAGGTCATTGCAGGGGATGTCAAACAAAAGATTTAAATCAGAGTTTTCTCGATCTTTTCAGCGAATGCCATCGTCTGCAAGATATCCCAAAAATGCTTCTCCAATGCTATGAAACGCAAATCCATTTTCCTACTTGGTAGAGCCCATAGTTTTTGTTTCCTTACATTTTGAAGCCTGTAAATTGAAGGCAGCCAAAATTAGGGTTCTGCCGGTTAACTTGTGGTTGCCTCTTGAGACTCATTAGTGTTTGGAGAGAGACTTTTTAAAGCCTGAGAAGATGCTTGCCCTTCTCCCTCTGTTCGGTTAAACAATGTACATTTGTGGAATATCATGGATTGTTGCACAGTTATGTTGGCCCGAAATGCAAATCCTGGCCTGTAAAAAAAAAAAAAAAAAAAAAAAAAAAAGGAAGCTGGGGATGATGACATCTGTCCATGATTTTAGCAAAGGGCTTGGTGTTTAGCCTGGGATTTCATTAAGCTTCCTCCTGAGTTTACACATAACGGGTCCAGTTGACTGGCTTCTTGTGGTTTTTTTTTTTTTTTCACTGAACTCTGACAGAGATCAAATTTTGGTGAATATGGGTCAGAGTTTTTTGAGTTTGAACTACAGATGAATACAGTTTTCCCTTTGATACTTGGCTAGCTGATGAAAGTGGTCTTTTTATTGTCAAGTATGCTTTACACATTTGTAGGCAACCTCGTCTCTAGCAGAATCTTTTCTTGGATTGAAAGAATTTAGTGGAATGCAAGAGAATAAAAACCAAAGAGAATTGACACCTAGATTATCTGTGATTATTCGTGAAGCCAACATTTTGAAAGAGACGTGGTGTTGATATGACTAGACAAATCAGGGTTATCCCGGTTGTTTATGAGATTAAAAATGTAATCGTTAAATAAGATGAGATTGGCTAGGATACTAGACAAGTTTATATTTGGCGAAAGTATTTAAGTTACTTAGAAGTGGCTTTGTTGGGAAATAGGTCGGAAGCTTACATTTAGATTCAACAATCGAAGCTATTGGTAGTCCTGAGGGGATGACATCCTCCAATAATAAATAATTAGCAAGAATTTAATGGCTCCAACTCATAGAAGGACCCGAACCTGTGTATTGCCTTGGTGGAATCTATAAAAGTTGTGGGATTGAACATGTTATTGAGTAATCTTTAAGCTTAGCCAACACAGGTTTATAAGCTTATAAGAAATATATTTTAGTTTTTAGTTTTTTTTAATATTTTTTATTAATAAACAGACGTCTTATAAGATAATTTCAGTGCCATCAATATTTCTTTACTACAACTAGTTTAGCTACAACATCCTCTACGATTTATTCCCGTTGTGAATCATTATCGATCAATTGATCTGATTTGAAGCCATAATCTTTGTACCTAATTCTCACTGTCAATAGCCGGTAGTTTAAGTATAATATGTGCAAAAGTTAGAAAAAGTATAAAGAAGTAAAAAGCAAAAAAGTGTAGTGGATAAATTTTAGTGTTAAAGATTCTCAACTTTATTTCGAAAATTTAAGTCTACAACCTTATTCCTTATTTATTTACTTTATGATTTAACTTCTAAAATCTAATTCGTTTCTCAATATTGTTCTGAAAATGAGTATATTATAAAGATATATGTGACAAATCATTATTTTTAAAATATAGCAAAAAAAAAAAAACAATGAAAATAATTATTTCTCGTTATCAATAAATTGTTCAAGAAAAAGCAAAAGACTTTACGAATTTTGAGAATAATGAGTCCGTGTTTTGAGTTTCTTCTTACTAACATGTTTCAAAGACGCATCCCACAATGTAGACCAACCAAATTTACTTATAAATAAGTAACTTTTAAATAGAATCAGAATTGAAAGAAGTGGAGCTGAAGTAGAATAACTTCAGAATGCATGAAATAATAACAACTAATACTTGTAGAAGACAGGAAAAAGCGAAAGGAAATGAATTAAAATTACCTCAACTTTGGATTCAAATTCTTTGATTGCAACATCACCTCACTCCGATTCCTCCACTGCATATAGAGAGAAATAGTGATTGTTGAGATGGCATCGTTCGACGCGTTTAGCCTGGACGGCGATGCGCCGGGTCTTGCATTTAACGACGGTGGATACACTGGTTACGACGAGGGTTACGCCGCCTTCACCATGCCTGACACTCCACCTTATACTACGGAGTTCGCGGAGTCGGAATATGTGACGGTGGATCACGTCTCGGACTCGGTGGACAGTTCTGATCCTTTCGGATTCGGGTCGAATCCTGAATCCGTCCCGGTCTCGAATGGCAACGGGAAGGCATCTTATGATATTGGCCAAGATTCGGAGGGAATATTTAGCTCTGACGGGCCGATCCTTCCGCCTCCAACTGAGTTGCAATCAGAAGAAGGCTTCGTTCTTCGTGAATGGCGGAGGTCAGATTTTTCATACTACTTTAGTAACTTTTTATGTGAGTATTTGTCATTTGATGCGATCTATTGCTCAACTATAGACAGCCTCTGTTGATTTTGTAATCGGGTTTGTACTATAAAGTAATTTATTTGTTTTTAGGAGGTCTGTATACTTTGGGACTTCAAGATTTAATCTTTCGTATTCTTTAATGGTTCATTTAATTGGCTTGAGCTGAATCTTGGAAAGAAAATGGTGCAACTGAAAACAAGATTACAGAAATGATGCAATTTCGAAATTGTCTTTTTCTCTGTTTCTCTTCTGCTTTTATCGATTATTTAGATTACTGGTGTAACTTAAAAGGATCTAGCTGAATTATTCAAGTACAGTATTCTTTGCCTCTATTTAATTGACATGTTAATGTTTGGTACCAATTAAACAGTCGGTCCCAACTGTAGTACTTAGTACTTCATACTCCGGGAGTACTAGAAATTCCCCCCCAGAATTATTAGCTTGTTCAAAAATTCAGCTAGTGAGATGAGTATATTTCAAGTTGAATTCTCTGTACTAAAATTATGAAATCTAGAAGTTTTTAAAACAAAATCACACCTTAGATAGTGCTGTTCACATCTATTGATTTGAACTCTAGATATTTGGTTTGATGCATTGTGGAGTTTTTTGTGGATTTTTAGGTATGTTGTTTGGGAAGAAGCAAAATCTGTTATTATCAAGCACCACCAAAACCTGTTTAATCCTGGGTTGGCTGCGAAAATTTTATGTATGATAGGTTCTTAGTAGGTTTTTAGGTCAATGCTGGTAAAAGTTGAGGCTATTTTCAAGTGAGCCATGTTAAGAGAGTCGAAGGTGCCTGTTTCAATTCTTTTTTTATTTTCTTCAAGACAAACGTTAAAACAATTATGTTGGAAATTTCTTATTGAATGTTAGGCTGCTAAATAGATTTTGAGCAGTTACACTCGAGTCAATGATACCTTGCTACACTTACACTCTTCCACATGGCAACATCTACACTCTTGATTTTGAACTCATCCATTCCACCACGGCACTCCTCCACATCCCGGGGGGGGGGGGGGGGGGGGGTATGTCAACCATGTTGTCAGGGCTGATTTACATGTAGCATTATTCACGATTCATAAACCAACGATACATAGCCCTAGTACAAATGAGTCCACAATACATGGTCACATTTCCAAACATGCCTCCTTATATGGAAGACTTTTATTCATCAATTAACATTCTGATTGCACCAAATAGAAGTCCAGGTCTTCTGATGTCTATTCTGATCTCTTCTCTTAGTGGATGATAAACCAAATCTTAACAAAGATGATTTGAAACTTTTTTCTGCCCACGCTTGCCTATTGCAATTTTTTATGTTTAGGCTTTCTCCTTCTTCAGTGCATGAAAGGAGAAGCTGTTGCAATTTCAGTACACTTCATGTTTATACCCATCGTCGTGTCTTCAAAAGCATAGATGAAATGAAAGGTGTTGATAAACAATATTCACAAATTCTTAACTGCATAAATATGTTTTTCTGGTGCAGGCAAAATGCCATTCGACTTGAAGAGAAGGAGAAGAGGGAAAAAGAGCTGCGAGCTCAAATTATACAAGAAGGTGAAGAGTATAAGCAAGCTTTCTACGAGAAAAGAAAGCTTAATGTAGAGACAAACAAGACTACCAACAGAGAGAAAGAGAAGGTTAATATTTCTAGAATTACTCTACATTTTATGTTCATTTGATGAAGTGACAAATTCGATGTGATAAATTTGTACGCTGAACAGTTATACTTGGTCAATCAAGAGAAGTTCCACAAAGAAGCGGAAAAACAATACTGGAAAGCTATAGCAGAGCTCATTCCCAATGAGGTACCCCATATTGAGAAGAAGGGAAGGAAGAAGGATCAAGTAAAGAAGCCATCAATAATTGTCATTCAAGGGCCCAAACCCGGAAAACCTACCGATCTTTCAAGAATGCGCCATTTATTGGTGAAGCTGAAGCATAATCCTCCATCTCATATGTTACCACCCCCACCACTTCCGGCCAAGGACGGGAAAGTCGACAAAGATGGAAAAAATGTCAAAAATGAGAAAGATGTGGGACATAGGGCAACCGGATCAGGGGCTAAAGAGGCCCCTGATGTACCTGCAAAAGAGGCCACTTCTAATGGTTCTCCAGTTGCAACTGAAGAACCCATTACTCCTGCCAATGACCAGCCTGCTAGCTAATTTCTCCAATTTGATTTTATAATTAAAAGTCTCCCCTACTAAAGGTTTTCATTATCTCCATAATTCTTAATATCTTATTTCATTCAAGCTGGTTTGCTAAACCAATGTTATGTAAGATAGAGAGTTGACATATTCTTACATTTTTGAGCTTTTATTAATTCAGATTTGTGGTTTTGTGTACTAATTGTTTGATGAAATTTGGCTTGATACCGTAATCTTCTGTTCTGGTATTTTTTCTTCACTAGTATCTGAATTGCCTGTTAATGTTGCTAAAATGTATCTTCTTCGAGATCAGTTTGCCAAGCTAAGGAATTTTTATTGCAACCTCAGATGAACAAACTATACACAGATTACTTTGTCAGCCTTGATCCTTGGACGGACTTTTGTTGCTTCCTTACCATGTGGGTGTGGGTGTGTACTTCTATGCACATGTTCCTTCACATTTATTTTTTTCCCTTTCATTTTCGATTATTTTATTTGTATTTTATTATTTTATCGAGATTAATTTTTTTATCTATTTACTCATGAAAAAGTGAGCCATGCGATTGTAACGATCTAGCTGATGGAAACCGTCTTGAAGGCCAACTTGTTACATACTTGACTTGTTGGGGATTATGCTTTTTATTTTGCCATTATGTTATGCTATGTTGTTAATAATTGTTAAGAAGGGAACACTTGAACACAAGAAAATTCACTTATGTTTTAAATAAACTACAGTCACTTACCAAATTTACATGCTGAGGAGAATTAAATAAACTAAAATGGGTACAGAAAATAACACAGAATCAAATTCACATAAAGCAAAAAGTGGGTGGTTGAGTTTGTTGGTCATGTCAATATCCGTAGATTTAAAATTTAAACATCAAGCCTGTTGGCCCCAGTTTGCCCAATTAGCTTCACTCCCAACCCTTGGCATGCTATTGACTTTAGAATAGGCATCAACCATGAAATTGGCTCCACATATTGCCCCTTCACTGTCAATTCTGGGCATGGCTTTCATTTTGTTCATTGGATGCTCAAAGCTCATCAATCCTCTTTCATTATGGTACATGCACCCTGCATTCATCCGAACATCGAGTTAGATTATGCATAATGGGGGAGAGCTCTGTAGTCTCTGTTCCTAGTTCTCGTGTAGCTGGAGCATCTGGAACTACAAAGATCTTTTGATATAATGAGATTCCCACTCAGCATCTTTTTTGAACAAGATTATGGAAGAATTGCTATTTGAATCCTTATGTAAGTTGTCAGTTTGTGTTTGAGGCACCAATCTCGAGTCCGAATAAAGGAGGCTTTGCCCATAGATTGACATTTTGCTTAAAACTTAATCATGAATGGTATACTAAATTCAACATACCTGGTGGGAATGGGGCAAATGATTTTCTGCAGCTAGCTTTGACAAGATCCACATTATCAGAGATAATAACAGATCCATCAGCTGCTATGCCCCAGTAGAGCTTCAATGCATCGTCTGCACCCTGCCCACAACAAAATCAGACAATTTTAAATATTTTTTTAACGTCAATAAAATTCAAGACTAGCAAAAAAATCATCCCCCAGATTTTATAATTTGACAGAAAGTTTTGGAGGATGATCAGCACTTACAAGGGCAGTAAACACAGTTTCAGCCTTGTGATCATAGATCACAAATCCAAAGCTTCCTTCAAGATCCTTGAGCACCTCATGAGCCGGGTATGGGCCCCGGTCTCGGAGGGTTCGATATGCTTCAATTAAAAACATGGCCTCATTACTACCCTTTGATAGGCCATATTGCCTGTTGAGGGTGCACAAGTTGTTTAAACTCCCCAAAAAAATGCAGTACATGTCATTTACACCACAGAACAACCTGCAATGTCATAGTCATCATTTATCAAAACATATTTTCCAACAAAAATAAAAAGACAAAAACTTAAAGAGATTGATATGATCATTTCTCACTACATGTTATGATCTGAAGGGAAATACAGAAATCATATGAAAAGGGGGTGGTTTTTAGGAAAAACCTTTGATGTGCCTTGAATGAGGGTTCTAGTGGAGTATATGCCAATAATGCCTTGTCACCAAAGCCAATGGAAAAGCCATTGAAGGCATCAGATAAAAAACCCTTCAATATCTCCTCAGATTTCTTGGGGCTAACAGCAGCTTGAGGAGAAACTGGGCCATTCAATTCCTGTGGTGGATTTACCAAACCCTTCTTGAATATTGCCAACATTTTCTTCTTACAAGAAGAAAATCTTCAAAAGAAACAAACTGAATGTACCCACAGAAACAAGAAATTTTTACACTGTATGGAAAACGTATACAGGATGTGAAATCTTTGTGCAATAAGTTGAGTATTTATAGTCATATAGAGTGGGGGAGCTAAAGTAGGTGGCAACATTATCCAAAACTAAAAGGTAAGAAGAAAGATTCAATCAGTAATGAAAAAAGTGCAGTGTGGGCTCTCAGATCACATGATAAAAAATTGTTTTGTGGGTTTAAATCTCAATTTATTGCTAAGATTTGTGAATCTTGAGGATTAAGTGATACTGATGACAATCATAATTTATTTAGGGATGACTAGATGGTTTAAGGAAAAAAAATGTTTGAAAAATGATAAGAGATTCGAGGAATTGGTCAGAAGTCTTATCCACAATTACAGGAGACCGTGACACTTTACTTTGTCGTGTGGCTACGTGAAATTCTCTGTCTATTTTATATTTGTTATTAGACGATTTCTACTGTTCTTGAATTTTCTATCCATTTCAAAATAAAATGGCTTGTGGGTTTAGACGTTAGAGATAGACCCGATAAGCACAATATGAGGGATACGGTCTATGCTAGTTCTCGTGATTCTTCAATTCATTATTGAATTCTTGTGGGGAAAAGATTATAGTTTAAATGTGAATTTTAAAATGAATTATAAAGCTTGCAATCAAATATGATTTATATGATATGGTAAGCATAATCCATGTTGATTGATTTTTAGATTGAAATTAGTCTGTGTTTTCCTAAATAAATTGAGGACGACAAATATGCAAATAGCAAATTATGCTACATCTTGATCTACAATGTCATTTTAGAGAATTCGTGTCATCATTTCCTCCATCAACATAAAATTTCTCTTGCCATTTTTGCTTTATCCCATGGGGAACTCCTACCCTCATTCGTGCGAGTAGACCACAGAGACATCAACTATAAAGACAAAAAAATTAAATTAATGATTTATACGAAACATCATTCTTTCTTTCTTTTTTTTATCATGAGATTCCTTTTCTCCACCTATTTTATATTTGTTATTAGACGATTTCTTTCTTTCCATTTCAAAATAAAAATGGTTTGTGGGTTTAGAGGTAGACATGATAAGCACAATATGAATGAGGGATATGGTCTATGCTTGTACTTGTGATTCTTCGATTTAGTGAATTTTAGAATGAATTATGCTTGTACTTTCAATCAAATTTGACTTGTAGATGAGATGGTAAGCATAATTCAAGCTGACTGATTTCTATATTTAGTTTGTGTTTTCCTAAACAATTGGAGGATGAACAATTGTATCCATCCATTACGTCCAAAACTCGCATCATTTTCATGTTTGGAGGAATAGTTCAATCTGATAGTAGATTCCATAAAACATTATGATAAAGTCAAGAATCATGCCCGGGATGAGATGATTGATGAGCCTTTATCAGTAAGGTGGCTAATATTCCCATGGACTCTCTCTTAAATTCACGAACGGATCACAATGAACATCAATAGCATATTACATTACATCCTGAGTTACAAAGTCACAATAGAGAATTTCAGCCGTTGTTTTCTCCACGTTGTCATTTCCTCATCAACATAAAACTGCTCATCATTGTTGCTTTATTATAAGGATGGATTCCAACCCTTATTTGCTTCAACAATCATTAATGGTTTATACGAAACCTTTTTAATTCCAATTAATCTATTTGTACAATGATTTTGTGCAACATTGTTGACAATGATGGGTGTGACAAAAAAGTATTGATTCAAAAGATGGATTATTTTTCAAATTGTCTAATGACAATATTCCATGTTGTCAAATTCATTGTACACGAAGCATTGCTATTTTAATTTTGTGTTCCTTCCCTCACAATAATGAAATCCCACTTTATAAGGGAAAAACCTCGAATCCTATGCAAATACGGCCTCAGTCCGCTCCCACTGCACAGAAGAACCAACTGGTCGGTGTAGGGCTGGCCCCTTTGCCTCGAAGATCTTACTTAAATTTAAGGCACCTCCCTTTTTTAGATCTTCAACAGGTTAATATTAACAATAAGAAAGTAATATATGTGACTTGCATGGAAAAATGGCATTGACACGTCTTAACCTTTTTGTTTAATTTAGGAAACTGTGGGGGAGAAGACAGAGACAGGACGATGCTCAGACTGTCCCAAGATTGAAAGATCAAAATTTTGTTAAAAATTTAGCCTCGCTTATTTCTTATTTTTGGAAGAATGAGAATGAAAAATACATCTGTTACAGACCCCACACAATAGATAAAAATTCAAATTTGATGGCTTGATGTGACGGATAACAATCATATTTTTCATTTTAATAAGGAAAAAATGAAAACCAAATAGGGGCTTAATTTTATCGTAAGATCCCGCGCACTAGCCAAAAGACCGATTAGGATTCTGGCTATATTGTTATCTTGACTTACTAAGCATTGGTAACTCCTTATCAAAAGGGATTGTTAGCTATAAAATTTGCGTTTATCTACAAATAGTTGCCACAGGCAACAAGCCAACAACACAATAAGACCGCACTACTAGCCTATCGCAGTAAAAGAAAGATAAAATGAACCAAGAAGAGGATAAGAAAGAACGATAAAATACAATAGAACTAGCAATTAACTTTGGCCATTTACAAAATGTTTTTAATCATTGAGAAGTACATCTTTTACAATTGTGCGCGAGTTTTACTTAGCCTTGTTAATTACAAACACTATAACCTCCAAATTAGAGCACAAAAGATAAGTGTATATGAAGTCATGAAGCATAGTCTCTGTCATAATATTTGTCTTCTGGATAATATACAGCACTCACAGTATTGCCTCCAAATTTCCTGCCACTAAGTGCAGCCCTTGCTTTAGAACAACCAGCGGTATCAGAATACTCCAAAAAGACCTTCATTTATCACCAGAAAGATGGATTAGAATACAAATATGGAACTCAATTTTTAAGCAAGAATAGAAATGTCGATTTTAATCTACAGGAAAGGACATTGCCAATACACCTTCAATTCTTCTTGGCATGAAAAGTTGAAAACTGGGTTACTTATAAAATCTGTGCAAGGAATTTTTATGATCTACCTAAATTATTCTATGCATCTCTCAGCGACACCTTAGCAGTCTATCTCACATTTTTCTATCCAATTATTCAAATATTAAATGCATATCGTGTAGAGTTCTTAATTGCACAGCTCTTTCAAATCCCCGACATTTTCTTAAAGAAAGGAATAAAGCATTTAGAACCCAATAAGAATTT